TATTCTATTGGGGAGCAAAAATGACAAATAAATTGGAGGATGTTAGATTTACCAATAATATAAAAAAAACATTTTCATTTATAAGTTAACTCCCAATTTAGAAAAAACAAAATAGTGTATACCATTATTTATATTGTATACATTGTTAGATTTCATCCACTAAAGTAAAAGTAAAGGCCAGTTGAGTGACTACTGATCTAGGTGAAAAGTTAAAAGAAGTGTCAAAAGGTGAAAAACAAAATAAGGTTTGCTTGAAGAGTGAAGACAACCCACAACTACCAAGTTCGAAAAAGTTTTTAACTTTTTTCCATAAGTGGCGGTTTCTTGAAGGTTAATATTTACTTTGAATTCTAGAATTTGATAGCTACAATTTATTTTACCCCCTCATTTCCATAGATTTTAGAGCTAGATAGAATTTGATGAATAGACAATACAATACATTAACATACACGTACGTACATATAAACGTATGCATGCATATATGACTATATATATGTATGAGAAGGAAAATGTGCATGTAAAGTAATGTAAAATCACATTGACTGACCATAGTCTATAGTTTCTAGTTATAAAATCATTTATATGTAAATAAAACTACAAAATGGCAGGATTGCAGTTTCGAATCAGTTAATGTGGGCGACAAAAAGAAATCAGATTATGTTTAATTATTAATTTTAAAAAGAGATAGATACTTCCTTCATTAATAAAAGTTTTATGTTTGATTATTAAATCAGACTATTTATTATGGGTACGACTTGTAAGCGTAATTAAAAGTTAAATAAAAACCTAGCTAGTTGGGAAATGGGAAGATAGATGATTTGATAAAAACAAGACACTGTTTGGTTTCAGAGACTTCCTTTAGCATCAAAACACAAACAAAAGCGAAGCCTCTTGAGTTACTGCAAATAGAGAATATTATTACCCTTTTGCGACTTGTCAGCTTCAGATATTCTCACTTGTATATATTATTTTCACGGTAAACAATGCCTTAAATAAGAAACCCTGATTGGACTTTTGATCTGACTCTACTCTTCACTCTTTCTTCTTCTTTATTTTCAGTCATGATGTCTCTCTAACCCTAATCTCAATAACTCCAAAACTCTTTTTTATTTATTTCTAAACATTCTTAAATTCTTTTTTCTTTTTTTTTTCTTGTTAAATTCTTTCTTTCTCTCTAAACCTTTCATTTACATATATTGATTATAGGTAGCAATGATTGATATGAGATTTATAGAGTTGGAGATGTCTTGTAATGTCTAAATATATTTCTCATGTTTAGAGATAACATTCTTGCATGTTAATGTTATATATGATTTTCCAGTTTTTCTATTCGGTGAAAAGTTTTATTATTGGATATACACTGTCAAATTTTGTGTTGGGTCCAAATAGGGGGTAATGTGGTCTCCTCCAACAAAATTCTTTAGAGAACAAACTAATTTATTAAGAATAAAACACATATATTAACAAATAAAGTAATTCTAATTGGTTTGCTTTAATATACAATTAAAAAAAAAAAAAATTGAATCTAATTAGGGCTTGATTGGTTCTTCCGCTAGCACCCTCCTAGCGGTTGCTAGCGGTCGGTTGCGGTTGTTAGCGGTTGGTACCAATCATAGAAACTGCTCCGTACCGCTTCGAACCGCTCGAAATCGCTGAATTTCAAAAGCTCCTTCCCGCAAGCGTTTGCGGTTGCGGGCGGTAGCGGTTGGATTAAAAAAAAAAAAAAAAAAAAAAAATCAAATGTTTACTTATAATTATTATAATATTTATTAATCTTATATATATCTTTCATCTTTTTATCACGTTCTCATCAGAAACCCTAATAATATTCTGAGACTCTATTCTCTCATTATCTTCCACCCAAACTGATGAAAATCAAGAACCAAACGTAAGTATCATATATCCTTTTATTCATTCATCACCTCATGTGTAACTTTTTGAATATTTTTCATGACATCGTTTTTTTTCTTTTCATTACGTATTGCTTTGCTTTTTGATTGAATATATGTTTCGATTTGTTTTCTCGAATAGAAACTCACTTGCTTTTTTATTGAATTCAACGTTATTTACAGTTTGTCCCATTACTTGATGCAATTTTTGATGTTAAACCATATGCATAAAGTACTATCTTGTTACAAAATTTCTTTATTTTTGAATAATTATGTAGTACTTTATTTATAGTTTTAATTATTATGCATGTTCAATTTTTCTAATATTATCATAATAATATATCGGTGTTTTTATTTCCTTTTTTGTAATATTTTTTTATTTATTTTGGTCAATTTTTATTTAACTGCTACCGCACCCGCTGGTTTACCAGTCATAAAACTCCCGCAAACGCACCCATTTTCAAACGCTAAACCAGTCGTTCAAGCCGCTTGGTAACGCTTGAAGCCGCAACCGCCCGCTTCCGCAAACTCCCGCAACCGCAACCGCAACCGCTGCGTTTAAACCAGTCAGGCCCTTAGTGTCTAGTTCTCTTGGGTTGATCTCCACTCCACGGGTACAATTTGACTGACCATTATAAAGAAAATAAAGAGAAGCGTGCATGTAGTTTAAGATAAAAGTTGTATATTACAAATTAGAGAGGAAAAAGAAAAAGAAGATGAAGTTGTGATCAAATGTGAAAAGTATTGGAGTAGTCTCCAAATCAATAATTTCGATGCTGGGCATTGACAAGATAACTCTGAAGCTCTCAACTTTAAGAACCATCACTTCCTCTGCCACCATTTTCACGTTTATCCACACACATATACAAACAAAAATTTGTTAGTCAATAATTATCACCAAACTGTGGTTGGATAGTTGTGCTTGTTGATGTTCTAGGTTCGAATGATAACAAAGTACATCTATATTTAAAACACACTTTAATTAAATTCAAAAACTTTTATCCAAATTTCTTGTGAAATGTAGATTATTTGGAGTTAAACCTATTTTCTTGCCTTGGCCACTTGACCAGTTTAGTTTTTGTAGACGTTTTTTTTCACTTTAAAAAATAACTACATATATCAACTGATTTTTAACCTTTTAATTTTTTTTGTTAACACTGAAATAGAAAAACGTGAGTAAGCTAAGCTATCAACAAAAAAAAACAATCCTAATTAAGATTAAATATTTTTGCGTTGATATAAAATAAACATTCATTTCTGATACAAAAGAATAAATATTTTTGTATTTGTTGGTGTGTCACACTACTATACCTTTTTAACAATAAAGAAACACTATTTCTTTTTCTATTCAATAAATATATGTTTTTTTATTTGTGTAAATTCATTACCTTTGTTTGTTTTTATACCAAATGTTCTTTATATATAAGTATATGCCACTTTACTCTATTGAAGTCAAGAACATATCAAAAACCCATGCAAGAAGCACAGAGAAAGACCAAACACTTTTGTCTCCTCTTTCTTCAAAACCTTTACATATGATCTTTGCCTCTTTTCCTACAATGGGTTTTGCATAACTTTCACCAAAAACCTTCCTCAAAAACCCTACACATTAAATCTCCCTTCACATATTCCCAAAACAAGAACAAAACTCTAAATCCATTTTCACCAAATCTTTTCCTTTCCCAAAGCCTAAACACTAAAATGGATTCAAATGTGTTCATCAATAACCCATCTTTAACCTTACCTTTCTCTTACACCTTTACCAGTAGCAGCAACAGCAGCACAACAACGAGCACCACCACAGACTCAAGCTCCGGTCAATGGATGGACGGTCGGATTTGGAGCAAGCTACCTCCTCCTCTTCTTGACCGCATCATCGCTTTTCTTCCACCTCCCGCGTTTTTCCGGACACGTTGCGTCTGCAAGAGATTCTACAGTCTACTTTTCTCCAACGCTTTCCTCGAGACATATCTACAACTACTTCCTCTCGGACACAACTGTTTCCTTTTCTTCAAACACAAAACCTTAAAGAGCTACATTTACAAGAGAGGAGGAGGAACAAACGATGATGATTCCAATAAAGCTGAAGGCTTTTTGTTTGATCCTAATGAAATCAGATGGTATCGTCTCTCTTTTGCTTATATCCCTTCAGGGTTTTATCCTTCAGGATCATCAGGAGGGTTAGTGAGTTGGGTCTCCGAAGAAGCTGGTCTTAAAACCATTCTCTTATGTAACCCTCTTGTCGGATCCGTGAGTCAACTGCCACCAATTTCAAGACCAAGGCTTTTTCCTTCTATAGGTCTCTCAGTAACACCAACCTCTATTGATGTTACTGTCGCTGGAGACGATCTCATATCTCCTTACGCCGTGAAAAACCTCTCATCGGAGAGTTTCCATGTGGACGCCGGCGGATTCTTCTCCCTCTGGGCGATGACTTCTTCTTTGCCTCGGCTTTGTAGCTTGGAATCTGGTAAGATGGTTTACGTGCAAGGCAAGTTTTACTGTATGAACTATAGTCCTTTTAGCGTTTTGTCCTATGAGGTTACCGGGAACCGGTGGATCAAGATTCAAGCTCCGATGAGGAGGTTTCTCCGATCTCCAAGCTTGTTAGAGAGCAAAGGGAGGCTTATTCTCGTAGCAGCCGTTGAGAAAAGCAAGCTTAACGTTCCCAAAAGCCTTAGGCTTTGGAGTTTGCAACAAGATAATGCCATGTGGGTCGAGATCGAACGGATGCCTCAGCCGCTCTACACACAGTTTGCAGCAGAAGAAGGTGGAAAAGGATTCGAGTGTGTCGGAAATCAAGAGTTTGTAATGATTGTGTTAAGAGGAACCTCGTTGCAGTTGCTGTTTGATATGGTGAGAAAAAGCTGGTTGTGGGTCCCACCGTGTCCTTACTCCGGCGGTGGTGGCGGTAGCTCAGGCGGTTCAGACGGTGAGGTGTTGCAGGGTTTTGCTTATGACCCAGTGCTTACTACACCGGTGGTTAGTCTTCTTGATCAGTTAACACTTCCATTTCCTGGAGTCTGTTAGTTTTTACGCTTTTAATTAGGAGACTACTTGTTGTTTCCACTTCTGGCGTTTCTGGCGTTAAGACTGCTTGTTGTCTTTCTCCAAAATTCTGTTGCTTTATCTTATTACTGTCTGTTTGTAGTAAGTTTATATTTCTAATGTCAAATGTCTAATCTTTGACAACAACATATACAGACAGATATCTAATTGCGTACAAACCAATCCATCAAACTCAAAAACATAAGTCTTCGGAGAATGGTTTCACTTGAGCTTAACCTGGAGAATGAGATGAACTTTTCGGTTCATTATTCTCCTGAGTTCTTCATTGGCCTCAATTCCTATCCTCCTGCAAGATTAGCAAATCCTTGAGTCATCGATTACTCAAAAGAGTGAATTTTGAAACAGCGTGTGATCTTGTATGCTCTTACCCGATTTTGGAACCGCCCTTGCCTACAAGAATTTTGCGTTGGCTAGGTTTAGGAGTGATGAGATGCTGTTCAATTCTAAGAGACCCGTCACGCAGCTCTTTCCAGTCCACTAGACGGTGCTCGACGCCATATGGGATTTCCTACAATTTGTTTCAATCAATCCTGTAATTTGTCATCTTTGGGATAGACGGAAACCGATACAGAAGATTATACTAGTAGAGGTTGTAGTATTACCTGATGAACATGGTCTAGTAATCTCTCCCTAACAACTTCAAGAGAAATGTTCTTCAAGACTTCTTCACTCATCGTGAATGCATCTTCTTCCCATGGTTTTTTTACTGCCTGATCCATTAAATATTGGCTAAGATCTTTAACTCCTGATCCCTTAAGTCCCGATATCATGAAGTACCTAGAACACCAACCAGGGAAAAAAACACATTTTTTCAATCAATTCGAGATACTTCCTCGGCCATTGTTTTTAAACTGAGTCAGGTATAGATATCTACCTTTCATATGCCGGAAGATCTTGGAACTCCTCAGCAACCTTTAACAGATCTTTTTTCTTCTCAACCAGATCAACTTTGTTCATACATAAAATGCGCTTTTGTTTCGGATTTTCTTCTTCGCCCATGAATTTGATCAAGCGTACCACTCTTGAATCGGGACTATATATATCAAACAGAAAACAGAATTCACAAACTACAAAATAAGTCTGAGAGAACTCTATTTCTACTTGTCAGTAATGCAAGACCACAGTCACAAGTCCTTTTCAAAAGAAGAATAGATACGTGTTTCCATCGGTTTATGGTTCTCAAGCTTATGAATAATCTCGGTAAGACGAACAAGATATGAAAGATATCAAAACAGAGAAGCTAGTAATAATAAGCCCACCATAAGATACCCCACTTAATGAGGCTCCTAACCATACTACTCTCAGTTACGAGATAACTTATGTGAAGCTAATAAAGTACACACTACAAAAACGAGTAAATGACTAACCTCATGAGATGCCTATGGACATCAAACATAACAATGAGGACATCAAACAGGTCAACAGAAGTCCAAGCATTTTGCACACGGGCTTTAATATCTTTGTAACCATATCCGCTTTTCTTCAGCATCAGACCCGGCGTATCGAAGAAACACTGCAAGGTTCAAAAATATTAAATATTTCAATCTACCAATGGCTGATCTCCAAACTTAACGATAACGAGTAGTGTACATAAACAACAGATATATAAGAGAAAACTTACGACTTGTGTATCTCCTTTTGTCAATACTCCTAACACTTCATGAGTCGTCGTGTTAGTCTTCCGTGAAGCAGCAGCAACCTTTGTTCCAACCTACACTTAGACATAACGAAACACTAAGCATAATTATCAACAAGAGGCAATATAAAGATACACAATCACTTTAAAAATCGCAACTTTAGGATTAAACAAAAGTCATATCAGCTCCAAATTCAACCAACTAAGAAACGAATTCATACATAAACATATACACAAAGTCTCATTCGATTCTCAAAAACCAATCACAGAAATGTAAAAATTGAGGAAATGAGCCAACCATGAAATTAGTCAGCGACGATTTCCCGGCGTTCGGTGGACCAATGATACCGACATTAAGAGACTTCTGATCTTCTTCTCTAACTTCACCTTCACCAAGTTCTTCATCAGGTGACTCTAACGCCGCCTCTAACAGAGCCTTAGCGAGAATCCTAGACCTATCAACACTATCCTCATCATCATCCTCAGAGCTCACTTCTTCTGCAACTTTCAATTTACCTTTCTCAGTCAAGTTTCCAAAGAAGGCTTTGTTCACTCTTTCTCTGTACCCTTTATCCCAAGTTGCTTCCTTGGGCTTCTTCACAGAATCTCCGTGGGAATCTTCGATTGGGTATTGACTACTATCGAAAACAGAGTCGCTGCTTGTTCCGTCTTCGTTGACTGAAGTGGGTTCGTCTAGATTCGGCTGCGCTGAGTAAAACCGGCGGAGAAAGTTTTGAGCTTGATGGGGTTTACGAGCTGTTGTTGTTGTCGTTCGTGAGATGGAAATTAGTATACGTAGAGATCTAAAAGCTTTCATTTTTGCAACAACGGTGAAGTAGCGATCTCGGAACAAAGAGGCTTCGAGGGTTTTAGAGGTTTTGATGTTTTGGGGAAAGTGGTGACAAAGTAACTCAATATTACTGATAGGCCCCTCATTTTTTTTGCTAATCCACTTTTAATCCCTAACTTTGAATTTGATACAATGAGAGACATTCCCAATTTGGAGGTATCAGTACTACTAAGCTACTAACTAGCAAACCAAAATTTCATTTAATTGTTAATGGAAGGAATATTAGTCAATTTTATTTTGGGCAAAATACTAAACATGATGCTAATATTTTGGGTGAATCTGTATAATATAATACTTGATCAATTCAGAAGAAAAGGAGACAAAGTTCTTCCTCCAAGTCTCCAACGACAAAAAAAAGGACTAAACTTCTGAGAAAAAAACATCTCTGAGATCCCTAAAACAATGCAATTGTAAACTAACTCACCTGGCTAAAGAATACAACAGATGGAAAGTAATAACTTAAATTCAGATCATAAATTCAGTATCTGAAATTCTGAACAAAAGTGAGTGAAGACTTGTTGTAACAAAGCCTCATCATATCGCCTTTTCTTTGACGCGGGTTTGGTTTGGTGCCAAATTCTAAAACGCCATTCGCCCAGCAAGCCTACTCTCTGAGATTCGTCTGTCTATTGCTGCATTTATCGAGTTCATCTGCAACAATTACCAAAAGAAACAAACTTGGTTCTGAGTTAAAAAGTTGGATGCTTTATTTTGAAAGAGTTAAGAGAGTTTTCGTTTTGGTTCCCCAAGGCCGTGTGATTGTGCAAAGGTGCCAAACTTTGCAAAGTTAAGAATATAAAAAGAGCTGACCTGGGTTTGAAACCAAACCTGTAGAGTATGATCTCTTGTGGAACCAATCACCACAATTTTTTTATACAATACAAGAGACAAGAGGAAATATAATGAAAAACAAACAGATACAAGCGCAATTTTCTTCACTACCTATTGCGAGTACTATTGCAAGCTACTAATGATACCTTTTGAACACTAATGATTCAAAATGCCTAAGTACTTCTTATCATATTCTAAGGTAAGAAATTATAAACTGAATAATATGGTGGTACCTCTTAGCACAGAAACAATAGGATCTGGAATAGAAAAGTATAAATAAAGCCTACCAAATGGGTTAGACGTGCAAAAGCAAACTCTTCTTAACTTTAAAAAGGCAAATCAGAACTTACCTGGCTGGTTTCATCGTGCACTTTGTATTTCGGTAAGGACATTCTTCTTTCCTCCTGCAGATGCAGACACATTGCGTCAGATTTAAAACCAATGGATACCATTCCAACATGATGTATAGGAATAAACTAACCATAGACATCGCTTCATCATCCCATACAAGATAGACCTCATTAGGCTGATTGCTAGGAGCTTTATTTGCAATTACAGGAGGTGGACCAATTGAAGGACCGCTAGTGTTTGGGCCAGAGGCATAAGAATGAGCATTAGTCCCACCTATTGCAACAAAACATGATAAAGGTATTACAATTTGATACGAAACAGCTAAACCAAATGTAAGCCAATGATTGTAAGAACTTAAGATTGAACCTGGAATAGAATTGTTAGGCGGATAAGCATTTGCTGATCCTAAAGCATCTGCATGAGACGGTTGCTGAGCCCCACCAACAGGCAGAGGAGCAGAAAATGGTGAAGCTTGAGAAGGAATGCTGTTATTCACAACAGGGAACAGAGGTTGAGGAACCGGCATTGCAGGTGATGATGAAGGAATCCCAGGAGGAGTTACTCCAGTGACTGGTGAAGGTTGTACGACAGGAGCTAAGGTTGGCTGAGTCATCCCCATATTTTGAACAGGAAAAAGTGGTTGTGGTCGATACCCTAAATGGGCAGCTGGAGGTCCAGAAAGAGCTGGATTTTGTGGATACCATTGTTGCGGACGAGGAGGTGGCATAGGCCATACAGGAGCAGGCTGACGCATAGGAGGACCAGGATAATACCTGCTGACACAAAATAATTTATGAGGGTCAATAGCGATACATATTACAATATCTTAGATCATGAACTACTTCAAAAAACTGTTTGCTACAGGTGTTACTGTGATCTTGAATAGGAACAAAAGAATGGTTCTAGGACAGAGTTCTATCTTGGAAAACCCAAGAGCAAGCTAAGGAAACTAAGAACCTTATGGGTCATATTTAATTGAGTGCAACAATATCTTCGATAACGACTATACCGAAAAATGTTTACTACAGGTGTTATAGTGGTCTTATAGAAGAACAAAAGTAGAAAAGTTCTAGGACAGAGAACAAGCTAAAGAAACCAAGAACCTTGCATCATTTTGAGTGGATCAAATTTTAGGATCAACAAGTAACTGCGAGAGTGAGAGTAATTAGCACATACATTGGTCGCGCAGCACCAGGTACTTGTTGAGGCGGATATACCATCCCATATGGTCTAGGAACTACACCACCAAGAGGGGCGGAAGGAATCTCAACTTTTGCAACTTTGGCAGGAGGCTCTTCCTCTGCAGAAAACATAACTTCAGTTCAGAAGGTACCATATGAAATAAGACAACACAATAAATAATATATAACAACTTGAAAAAGGCAAAACACCGCATGCAAAATCAACACGAATTCATGACCATAAGATGCAATAGATCCACAGCACTTGATGAAGAGACATACAAATTTCTAGCCTTACTTCTCCAAATCAATTGCTGATAATGTAAACATCACTCTCACTATCTCAATTCCGTACCTTCTTCTCCGTAATGAGCAGCCAAGACATCGGGTGGAATTCCTTGCATTCCATATATTTCAATATCAGTTGAATCTCGACCCGTTTTAGCATTAGGAACCCTGGAGTGAAAAATGTAAAAAATATCAAAGTTAGTAGTGTCATGAAAATCAAAAGAAGTGAGAGCTATATAATCGTACGTCTCCGCAAACCCAATCTATGGAACTAAAAGAGTTATCTAATCAAATCAAACGAAATCAGCCTAGCCAAGAACTCAATTAATCTTACACAGGTCTCAAAACTGAATGAGTTACTCAACTAAACGAAGCAAAGCAAAAAACAAATCAAATTCCAAATTCAGCATGCAAACACATTGAACGGTACCACAATACCTGAAAAAACTATCAAGGTAAAGATTGTTTCTTTACCAAAAATTGCACACAGAAATTAGGGTTTATGACCAGACAATACAAAATTAACCAAACCCATGAATGAGCTAATACAAAAAACGATTCAAATTCCCTAATTATCCAGTAAACATGCACAATCAACCGATTCAAACCACAAAACAACAATCAAAGTTAACGCAATCTAACCGAAATCAAAAGATGATAACACACAAGAGAGAGGATAAAAATCACAACTTGAACAAAGATCATAGAGGTATCAACCCTAAAATCCAAATTAACCTAATACCAAAAAAAACTGCTAAGAGGAGAGGGACAAAAGAAAGGCACATACTTTGTAACATTCTCTTTATGAACCTGAAGAACATGAATCACCATGCCACTAGCTGTAGAAAGCTTCTTATGACAGACATGACACTTAAAGTGCTTAGCTTTCTGATGCTGAACAAGAATCTTCTCATCATCAAACTCTCTGTCGCAGTAATAACACCACACCTTCTCTGAAGCTCTCTTCTTCTTCTTACCCATCACTAAACCTTTCTCCTATGTATTGATTTCACGATTCTAATCGAAACCTCTCGTCTCTCAAAGTCTCGTTCTTTGTCTCCTTCCTCCGCTCGCTAGGGTTTCTATTGGTAACAAGCGTTTCTTCGATTTCTTCTACGATCTTCAGATTCTCTGTTTTTTATTTTATCTAATGGTTTTTACTCTTCTTTGTATTTATAAGAAAAGAAACTTTCTTGTGTAATATTGCGTAAAAACCCCAAAACTTTTGATTAATTACATATGTTTCCCGAATTGTCACTAAATTCTATATTTTGTTAGTAAGAAGTTATGACAAAATAGTCAGGATGGCCGAGTGGTCTAAGGCGCCAGACTCAAGTTCTGGTCCTCGTAAGAGGGCGTGGGTTCAAACCCCACTTCTGACAATTATTTTTTGTTATTATGAGACTTTTAATTCTCTTTTTTATAGCTCTTGACTATGAAAATAACGTATAAAAAGAATATGTTGTTAAAAACAGAAAAAGATTTAAAATAAGATTTTCTATAATTTTTTTTATTGTTATGAGACTTTTAATTCTCTTTCTCTATAGTTTCATTGTTTTTTTTTTTTTGGTAAAACTATAGTTTCATTGTTGACTATAAAAATAACGTATAAAAAGAATATGTTGTTAAAAACAGTAAAAGATTTAAAATAAGATTTTCTATAACAAAGAAACTTTGACTAGAAAACATAGTTTCTATAACAGAGGAAAAAAAAACGATAAGAGATAAGAATTACATAACTATTAGAAAAGATTATAACTAGAGGATAGTTATTCATTATTTCTTAAGTACATACAAAAAAACCTTGCAACAAAAAATTTATAAAGATATGGGTGCTAAATTGAATTCAATGATTTTATTAATGTTTGTGGTAACAATGGTAATAGCAATGGAAAATGTCAATGGAGAGACAAAAGCTCAATGCCAAGATCATTGCATTCAAGGTTGTGCCACCACCGGAGCACGTCCGAACATGTGCCTCCAGAGTTGTTACCGTAGATGCCAAGGCAAACCTGGTCGTGCATTAGGTAATCAACTAACCATTTTTTGTTTTTTTTTAAAAAACAATAATCTAACAATTTTGGAAATATATCAAAGAAAATATATTTTGATGATTATTGCAATTTTTTCTAACTATAGAAAATATATTTCCTCTTTGTATCAATAAATTTGTTTTGTGAAGAATTCAAGTAAGTTTGACTAGTATAATAATAATTAACAATAGAATGTTCAAATGATTGAGCGATATAATTAATTTTCAAAAATGTGAAAACATGAAAATATCATAATATCATAAACTAAAAATATTTCTTCTTTGTATAGTGGAAGCGCAGACTTAGAAGAGACGAAGAAGTCATGTATCAGTGTTGGACTCTTGGGACTTTTAAACTAGTTTTTCTTCTACGTCTGTATCCTTATGTAATCAATTGTAACGCTATTAAATAAAAGAAAATAAAATTTGTCTCATGTTAGAAATTTTGTCTCGACTTTAAGCATGTCTCTGTCTAAGACTCCTCTTAGATTTGAATCTCATATTTCATAATTTTCGAAGTGACATGTAGCGGCTCATTGCTTTTCTTGATTCATATTTTCAACTTTAGGTATTTCAAAGTGTACTATACCTTGTGGATAAAGCAAATCCATATGACCATATTTACATGAGACAAAAGTGAAACCATTAACCATCTCTGTTTCAGCTGCAAAAGAGAAACACTTTGTTCCAATTTATAGACTTAAGATAATACTGCCACTACCCACGTTTTTCCTATCCGTAGAAGCCAAAAAAAAAAAAATTGAGTAATGAAACAGCAAAATCGGCTCTCACTTGTTTTGCCATTTCTCTGTGCTTAAAGCCGAAGTTTTTACATTTTCTATATTGATTTGAGTTAGAAATGATCGGTACGTCGCGGAACCTTCTGATTTGGAACCTTCATTAGCTCGGTTTCATGCGTTGAACTTCTCTGTGGTACATGTATTATTGGTGTCTTATAATAGCAAAAAAAAACAAAGAAATTTGAATACAACAAGAAGCCAAAAAAAAACTCTGATGAGAAGAAACTCATCCTTAAATGAGAGTGCCGATAATATGAAATTAGAATAGCTCATTGCTACAAAGAAAATAAGGGAAAAAATAAGTTGACAAAGCAGAGAATATCTTGGTTTCTTCACACCCGGTGAGCCAATGAAATGACCGATACACTGGCTTCTTGCAATCAAGCATTCGATATGAAGAAGTACCGTTAACGTACCTCCAAGCGTTGGTGCTAAAATCAAAAATTTCACAAGTAGTAGTATTGTCTAAGCCAAACTCAAATGAATTATATAACCAAACCAGCTTGTATGTCCCTAAATTTGTCGTTACCGAATCCAAGACTAGGACATGAGAATTCATACTCTCCTTCTTTACAACCTCTCGATGATGAGATGTTGAATGTTGGAAAGAGGAAAACTCACTGGTGTTATGAAAACCGAGTTTTAGAACTACCCATTCACTTTTAAATAACTCTTTTTCTAACTAAAAACATTCTCTTATTCTTTCCTAACATTTAAAGTACACCAAAATTTTAGTTTGACCTTTTCTTTGCTTTCCTGCCAAAAAATGAATTTCAGCTATTGTTGCACCTAAAGGGAGACATCCTAGTTTTAATTTCAGCAATGTTCTCTAGCTTCCATGAAAATATCAATTATGGTTTTCTTTATCGCATTAATATTATAATTATGGTTTGTATTTTTTAAGAAAGCTTACTAGCATCGTCGTCGGGCGGTGGTCATAAACAAACTAATTATCTTGGTCTTAAACTAATTATAAGAAAGCTGACTAGCATCGTGGCCATAAACAAACTATGTTTTGGAAATAAAAAGTCTTCGTCATAACTTAATCATTTAGCACAATTAACTAATATTAACGTACTCGATGTCAAAAAACAATAATGTTAATATTATGTTAAATAAAAAGTCTTCGTCATAACTTAATCATTTAGAAGTCAATTCAATATGTCAAAAATTGGAAAATTTCAGACTGTCTTCTGGAATAATGGAAATACGTATGAAAAATAGGAATATCAGGTATAATATCAATTAACAATTTAATTGATTAATTTAACAGTCAGAACAGACGATAACGTGTATACATTACGTGACCAAACTTGTTTAGATACATTAAAACTGTCGACAAATTGAAAAGCCGTATTAACAATGTCGTTGTTATATAATGTAACTTGGTGTTGATCTTGTGTATATAAAGGAAGGCGAGACGAAAGTAAATTTCACCAGAGAAAAGGAGTTAAAACACCCGAGACGATACAACACCAAAAAAAAAAAAAGAAGTAATCGAAACATAATTAATTCATCAATGGCGATGTCGGGAACATTCATGACGGACGTGCCTCTGAAGGGATCGGCGGAGAAACACTACAAAAGGTGGAGTAGCGAGAACCATCTCGTCCCTGACGCCATCGGCCACCTCATCCATGGTATCACCCTCCACGACGGCGATTGGGACTCTCACGGCGCCATCAAGAGCTGGAAGTACACTCTTGGTTCGTCTTTTTACTCATTCTTTTTAAAATTGAATGTAAAATTTATTCAAACCAAAAAGTCGTTTTTACATCAAGTGCTACGTCTATTTCAAAGTTTAAAGCATTTTGAAAATGGAAACAAAAAAAACTAACCAAATCTCAAGCGCTTCTTTGTATTTGCGGTCTTTGAGGGTATTTCTCTATACATAAATATATAATGTACAAATGATTGACAGGGGCCGGTACACCTATTTATGTCTATACTCATGGATAGAAAAAAGTAGGGTTTGTTTAAGTATGGTAAGATATGAATGAGTTTGATAATCAGTAAACAAAATGTGGTGTTTGTTTGTGTGATGAAGATGGGAAGGAGCAAGTGTTTAAGGAGAGAATAGAGATGGACGATGAGAAGATGACGGTGGCGTTCAATGCGATCGATGGTCAAGTCATGGAGGAGCTTAAGGTGTATATAGCAAACTTACAATTCATCCCCGAGTCCCAAAATGGCTGTGTCTGCAAAGTTAGTGTGACTTGGGAGAAACGCACCCAAGACTCCCCAGAGCCCACCATGTTCATGAAGTTTCTCGAGAAGATGGTTGCTGACATGGATGACCACATCCTCCAAAACGAGGAATGATGGATCTATATTGCTTAATCATCATCACATTTTCCTTTATTTATGTACTTTTGTATTTTATTTGTGTTCATCTCGTATAATAATGATATTACTACTTCCTTATATATTATCATCATTGTGTTGTATGTCCAAATTCCAAAAATATAATATTTGCTTAATTATTCACAAAACAAAAGTGTTATTCACTACAAATATTTTAGTTACTTATTTCGAATTCGAAGTGTGGTAACCTTTTTTTTTTTTTTGATAAAAAAGTGTTGTAACTTTTGAAGAGAAAGTCCATATTTCCATGAAACATAAATTGATACCATTTTATGCACATAATTAAGAAGATATAACGCCCCGGACCACATTTTTGGTATCCGTTGCAGCCAGAAAAATAAGAGTAATGCAACCAAAAAAAATTGTTTCAAAACATCTCTATGATCCAATATATGCACATAAGATCAAACACCCATTACCACATTTCTCCTACCCGTAGAAGCCAAAAAAAATTAGAGTAACGCAACATGAAGATTGGTCAGAACATCTCTTGTGCTCCGTAGATGTCACTTGTTTTGCTCTTTGGGGGAGGCAGTTTTTCTAACACCCAGCTCGGAGAGTCACTTAGCCAGAGACCTACACCGGTTTCTTTGTGCTTAAAATCCGGCGATTTTGGGTGTCTCTACATGGATTAGAACTATAAATGATTAGTATGTTACGTATATGTGAAAACGATTGATTAAAAGGTAAGGGAGTTTTCACCTTGTCCAATCTATTGTCCCACCACTTATTCATGTTTTCCACCAAGTCCTTCCATGATTCCTCTCCGGCTTCAAATGTTTTACAGAAGCAAGATTGTTAAACAATTAAACAAAATTCGATTGCATCTTCTGAGTCAGAGACGAAAAGTTTAGTTGTCATTCCAATTCATAGACTATTACAGATTCATTGGTAAGCAAAGAGTTTCCTTACCCTTTGGTTTTGGTGCGTATTTTGGAATATCAAACTTCACGTCTTCGAGCTCGGACAATATCTCTGTGGGAGCTTTGTTAAGCCAAAGCGCTTGACTCCCGTCTTTCTTCTTGAAATCAGGGTGTTTAGGATTTACCTGTAGACAGAGATATCAAGAAAAAAAAGGAAAACCTTACACAAATGTATCACGGAATTGTAACAAAAAGAACCTACTAAGACAAGTTTAATTACCGATCCGTTCTGTTTGCTTTCGCGGTAATCACACCATTCATCCGGTTTATCAACAAGATCAAACCAAAGATTAGTTCCAACATCTCTTCCTCTTTGAACGCTAGCTAAGAACAAGAAGACAAATGTTTATGGTTATTATCAATTTTAAACAGCCAAAACCAGTACGGACATTACAGTACCGAAAAAATAGAACCGGGATTTCTGCGCTAGACGCTTACCAGAATGCTTAAGCACACTTTCATTTTGATCCACCGTTGGCATAACTTTTGGTAGGGCTTTAGAACCTTCAATGTAATGGAGATCACGAACCATTACTTGATGTGAAAAGCTACCATGAAAGCTTTTAAACAACTGAACATGTGCTTGGTCAGAATTTGCTCCAGATTGAATCACATCTCCTAAAATCTGTCCGGTAATATGAACCCGATCGTTTTTCTTCAAATAACTGTTAGCCGTATGAGCTAAATCCCCTTCAAACAGTACCGGAATCCTAATGTTCACAAAATCAATAAATGTCTTATCAATAACGATAAACCAATGCATCATCCTAACAAAGATCATTACAGTTTCAACTTCATAACAAAGATAAGCATAAGCAACATGTCCAAAGTAAATTTCACAAAATCTTAGTACTACAAGAACCAAATCCACAGGTACTCATCAAAATTCAGAATTAAAACCCATAAATTCACAGTTCATGGCTTAAAGTCTCAAACTTTACAAGAGCCAAATCAAAATACATAAAGTCTTCGACTTTAGCCAAGTTCAGAGTTCCAAAACGACAATAGAACAACATGCAAAACTCTAAAACCCAACAAAGCAACAAAATTTAAAAGACTAACCAGAAATTACTAGATGAATCAGACTCAGATTTGGAATCAGAAGAAGGTTCATGAGAAATGACTGTGCCTGCCCAGAATTTTCCATCGAGTGTAGAGTCGAACTGAACTGGTTGGTGAACGTACCCAATCAAATCAATAGAATTCGCGATTTTGGGTTGGTACGGTACCTCCGTCGGTCTCGGCCACTCTTCCGACGATTTCTCAGCTCTGCTTCCTCCTCCGCGAGTACGGCTACTACTTTCAGCAGAGAAATTTGAAAGATATTGGTGAGAAAGAACCCATGATTGTCTAGCAGTTGAATTTAACGAAGGTCTTATGGATTTCGCTAGTGATCTTGCAAGAAACTGCATTTTAGAGAAGATTCAAGTTTTTTTTAGGGTTTATGGGGTTTGACGACAAAGAAAGAAAGAGTTCGCCTTTTTAGATTCTCGTGTTCGACAAAGAAAGAATAGATAAAACGACGTCATTTCAAAGTTAACCGAATCAAAACCGAAGCATAAAGAACCAAACCAAAATTGATTCGAAATTTGAAAATATCCTAATGAATCCTAAATTATAGAACTGCAACCGAACCAAAATATTTTAGGTTTCCGAAAATATTCGAAATACAATTTTTAAAAATATTAATTACTTTTAGATAGTATAATCAAAAATAGCCGAAAAGTATCCAAAATATATAAAAATAACTAAAAAATATATCCAAAAATATCTGAAAATAATTGAAATATCTGAATGATACTAAAATATAAAACCGAAATAATTGGAACCGAACCGAAATTTAAAATACTTTAGAACTAAAACCGAATGGAACCGAACCGGATACCATTAACGCCTAGGACTACGTTTTTTCTTATAAAACGTTTCGTTTTTTACGGGGCAAATTTAGAGATCGCAGATTTTATGAGAGTTATTTTGTAATTTATATTTTGTTTAGTTCTAACTTCACCGTCCGCGGCGGGAGAGAACGCTGGGAAAACAAAGAAACCTTCAAATCGGAAAATTCGAGAAACCCTAAATCGACGAAAAAGAGGGATCTTTGAATCAGAAGCTTAGTGTGTTCATACGATGAAGAGTCAATGGTCTAATTTCCATCAGGTTTTTCATCTTTCCCTGGTCTTAGACTCTCGACGTTGTCCAATTCCGTACCATCTCTGATTCTATTCTCAAACTCGTGGTCTTCGCAGATTGGGAGAAACTCTTTCTTAGCTGCTTCTACTGTCTACGTTTCAAGCGAATTCAACTTCGTAAACACATCTCTTCTTAATCGAAGAAGCTTCTGTTTTGCAGAAGGAGGTAAATTTCTTAATTTTGGTTGTGTGATACTTTTCAATTGTTCTTGTATAGATACTTGAATTGGTTCAATGGTTTGGTCTAGATTATTGTTTTAGCTTGATTGAATCGAAAAATATGAGCTTTAGCTTGATGGTGAACTGGATTTTTTACTTTTCTGATAAATCAAATTTTAGCTGATCTCTGTAATTTGCAATTTAGATCGATCCAGCTTTGTAGTGTTGAAATCGGAGGCGGAGTTCAACAGTGCATTGAGTAAAGCTCGAGGTAGATAAATGAACAATCATGTGTTTCTTTTGTTAACTACTTCAGAGCTAAGTATGATCAGCTCTGCTTAATCTTGTCTTGATGTTATCTATTTTTTCAGATGGATCTTTGCCATCGGTTTTCTATTTCACTGCCGCTTGGTGTGGACCTTGTAAGTTTTAGTTCCATGAAAGCTTGTGGATAGTAGTCTTTTCTACGAGTGGCGTTATTAATTTGTGTATTAGTGGTTTGACTCTAGGCAGGCTTATCTCTCCTGTAATATTGGAGCTCAGTAATAAATATCCTGATGTAACAACGTATAAGGTCGACATTGACGAGGTATGCTTGCGTTTATATATCTATCATCACTGGCATGGCTTTTATAGGTCTCTACAAGTGTCATCATGCGACCGAATTCACCATTGTTTATGGTTTTTTTTCTGTGGTTAGAAGCTTTTAAAGTATCTTCTATCAAATCCTTTCAATTAGTCGATATGTCGAACCAAATGAATAACTCAACTAATCTAAAGTCTGAGATATATTGCTACACTATGGTTGCTTTAACTGGTTACTGATGTCACATCCTTCAAAGCGACATAAGTCACTTCGACTGATATTTTGTGGTTGAGTCACACAGACATAAAGCTATCTTCCTATGAGTGCCATTGTAAGCTCCATTGACAAAGATATCTCCTATTCCATATTTGCAGGGCGGTCTTTCAAATGCTATTGGGAAGTTAAACGTCTCTGCTGTGGTAACATCCTCTGTTCCTTTCAAAAGATTACTTTACATTCTAAGATCAAGCATGAACTAGTTTTGCATCTAAATGAGCTCTAATGTTATCAATGTTGAGATCCATCTGATGAGGCATTATGATGATTGATGAATACAGCCAACACTGCAATTCTTCAAAGGCGGCGTGAAGAAAGCAGAGATTGTAGGCGTTGATGTAGTGAAGCTGAAGAGTGTCATGGAACAACTATACAAGTGAGAGAGACTCTCTGACTTCTGTACACTACATTGCTTTGAGTTGTGATTATTTTGTGCGTTTACTTTAAGTTTGATTCTTTCATTCTCGTGTTCCTGCAATTCATAAGGGTGTAAGTTTGGTTTCTGTTAAAGAGTTTTTTCGGTTTATAGTATAATAAAAACTTTAAGACCATCACTGTGATTTTTTCCTCACAAAGCACTTGATTATCGTATTACAAGCAACATTCGACCTATTCGAAGCCCAGAAGACTTTATACGCATAATGAGGCGAAGAGAGCTCATCGGAGAGAGAAAATGAGCTTCGGAAGTATAAAGTCTCCACCTTGTAAGCCATGGACGAGAATCTGAGCATGAATTTGCTTCAATAATGTGATTCTCTGAGAGTTTCCTCCACTAACCAAAGTATTCGCCTTGTTTGCTTACTTGGTTTATCGTAGACTGGTTATGTTCCGGTTTAGCTGAATTGAAGCTAAACCGGAATTAAGCGGGAGTCAAATTTGAATTTCTGAACCAATTTGGTTTTATTTTGTACCATAAACCGTAA